TTACCTTGTCAAATTAATCAAGGTATTGTTAGACGCAATAGGAGAGCATAGTTCACACTACTAATGAACCGGAATCTCCAAAATCCAAAGCCCATTCATCTCCTAGTGAAATACACACCAGATTTATGATCAACAAACAAACACCAAATATCACTGCAAATGACCATCCAAGCAAACCTGGTAATGGCATTGTAAAAACAAGGTCTGGAAGAATTGTGAAGATGCCAGTACGTCTAGATTTATAGTAATGTCACCAAAGCAGACATTGAAATTAGTTTAGCAGTTCATTATTAGTGAATATTATGTTAGTTGATATATTGCAGTTAGAGTTAATGAATTACATTATGTTGTGTTGTATTCAGAGAAACATTCGTGGACTTGTTACGAACAATAGTGAGAACACTTGATACAGGACATTAGTTTCAGTTCTCGCCCTTCTGTACTTTAAAGGGAGGTGTAGAGATAACCAATATATGATAATACATATAGTGCCCTCTGGTGGCCATATATCCAGATACTTTTGCTCTGTATGTTTGTTCGTGTTACAGTGGAGTAAACCTCATGTCTGTAAGTTTCACCTGACCTAATACAGTAGTCTGTTGTTTTATTAGCGAATATTACAATTGGGTCTGTGAATATTTAAATATTACCGACTTGATAATGCGTTGCATTCGTAATTATTACGCAAATATAAACATGGGCGCCTTTAAATCATTGAAAAAGATAGTCAGGTCCCGGAGTCAGGTGTCTAACGAAAGTCGAGAAAATATTTTAAATACTTGTGACTCATTGGTGAATTATTTTATTCGAAATATAGTGAATATGTAACCATACAACAACATACAATATCATGCGTAATGTTATTTTTTTTCTATAATAAACTCGCAGCGCACTTCAATCGCATAATTCGCGTACATGACTGAACTATAATAACCACGTGTTTGAATTACGTGCGGCAATGGGCAATGACCTCAATGAGTTCACGCACTGACATTTAAATTCGAGCCACCCAGTTTGACGCAAAAAGATATAGTTACTTAACATTCGTTCAAAAAATCGGTAAACTCTCACAAATACCATGAACGCGAAGAGTTAACTGAAAGGCAACGTCGTTTTTGACCAAAAAAACAAAACAAAACGCGTCAATACAAGATTATGTGTGCAAGGTTAGATTTTTAGAACGTACATGACCGCTTAACTCTGTTTTTTTAATAATCATGTTGCACGTGAAACACAGGAGACATTTTAGTTCGTCCATTTCTTGTTTACCGATCTTGAACTTTTTGTCTGGAATGCGATACAGGCAAAGAATAAACATTAATGATACCCACCGTTGTCAAATCAACAAGA